ATGGTATTCGTCGTACGTGCCCGCACGCGTCTCTGCGCATGGACCTCATATGTCATCGTCTCTGTTGCCATACGTGCCACATGCACCACACCGTCAGTTGTGCCTCGATGTTAGGAGCTAGAATATGTCTTCCGTTTCTCCAATGACATCTGGATTAGCCGAAAAAAGGATTTTGCAAGTTCGAATTATTTGAAAATAATGGTTTTTTTTTCCAATTTTTGCACTGAGTTTGTACCACCCTACGCTCTGATATCAATTTGTGAATAATATGCTCACCAAGATCTTCAATTTTGCTACACATATCAGTCTGAGTTTCTAAAAAATGAGTAATCAAAAGCCATACAAAATTGATTGCTCAAACAAAGGGATTCACTATTTGGTTGCCTCAATTGTTATAATACACAAAGGAATATGGTGGCTGCAATTCACAAAGTGAAGAGATGACAGGAAGCAAGGCTCTTACGGTCGGGCAGAAAGCAAGAAGAAAACGACTGCCTGTTATTTGGGAAATTATTGAAAATACCCCAAATTTAACCATACCCTTTCCAAAATACCTCTTTTTACTATTCAACCTTATAATTGTTCAACCTGCAAACCAAGTTCTCCTTTCCTTTTTCTTCAAAACCTTCTGGTTGGAGCATATAAATTTCTTCTTCAAGTTCTCCATGAAGAAATGCAGTTTTCACATCTAACTGCTCCAGGTGTAAGTCGAATGTACCACACATCGCCAGAACTACTCGAATTGTTGTGAGACGAACCACAGGAGAAAATATTTCGTTGAAGTCAATGCCTTCTTTTTGAGCATATCCCTTCACCACCAGTCTTGCACGATACCGCTCTACTTGGTCATTGCCATCTCGTTTGATCTTGTAGACCCATTTATTTCCAATGGCCTTCCTTCCTTGTGGTAATGGAACAAGATCCCATGTCTTGTTCTTATAAAGAGCTTCAATTTCTTCTTGCATTGCTGCCATCCACAGAGAAACTTCTTGGCTTTGTATAGCCTCATTGAAAGTTGATGGCTCTCCATCTTCTGTCAGTAAGCAGTATGCAACATTGCCCTCCATAATATACTCTGAGTGCCAAGCTGGTTCTTTTCTTTCCCGTGTTGATCGTCGAACATCTGGAGCACTAGACTCTACTTGTTCTTGTTCTTCGTGCTCTAGTGTTGCTTCAGAAGAATCTATAACTTCTCGTTCATCTCCAACTTCGACTGTAGTAGTCTCCGATTTTTCTTTTGAAGTGCTATCATCTTCTTTTTCCTGCACTTTGCCTTCTGCAAATATCACATCTCTGCTGATTATCACCTTGTGGGCAGTGGGATCCCACAGGCGGTACCCCTTAACTCCATCAGCATA